GAGAGAGAGAGAGAGAGAGAGAGAGAGAGAGAGAGAGAGAGAGAGAGAGAGAGAGAGAGATCAAAACATCAGTATACTACTATACTAATGTGAGTGTATGTTCTCTATCCCATCTTGCCTTTTGTCCTGTGGCACATGTTGTTCCCTCTGTCGCTGTCTTCTTCTTCTTCTTCTTCTTCTTCTTCTTCTTCTTCTTCTTCTTCTTCTTCTTCTTCTCCTTCTTCTTACTCCTCCTCCTCTTGCTCTTCTGCCTCTTTCACTCACCCTCTCATAGACACATCCACACAGTTCCCGGATGGTGACTTGGAATGCAACTTGTTCCCTGCTTCTTCTTCTTCATTGCTGCCATTTTTGTTTTTGTCTTCGTCTTCTTCTTCTTCTTCTTCTTCTTCTACACATCCACAAACTTCCCCGATGGTGACTTCGAATGCAACTCAGTTTTGATTCTCCTGTGTTCCTGGAAAGGTTTTTGCCCTCACAGAGGCTTTGGAACGCTATCCTCTCATCACATCAATTGATCTCTCATACAACATAATCGGGAGTGCGGGCGTCATGTCCATTGCAACATTGCTTCAGGTAAGGCTCACAAGGTAAAACAGTCCAGAGAAAACTGCAGATGTGAGTGCGAATTCAATTTGAGAATTTCCCTTCTGAGGATTGAAATGACTTTCTCACATTTTCTGACACAGTTCTGAGCAACTTCGCTGATTGGTAACTCTTTTTTTTTTTTTTTTTTTTAATAATTTGTCTGGGTTACAAGCAGGGCCGGGTTGCCTCAGATTGGCTCAGGTGGCCCGGTCGGGCCAGGTCCGGGCAAAGTCCCGGACAAGGTCCCTGGCAGTCCCAGCGCAAAAAAGAAAAAGAAGGGAAATTTGTCTGGCGCCCCTGTATTCTCCATTAATTTGTATCGTGCCCCTCCGACAGCCGATTTACCCTGTCGCACCCCTGGGCCTAAAAATCTTTTCAGCAGGCCCCTGTCGGTAGTGGGCGCAACTTTCCAGGACACCCTCCCTCAACTGGCGGTCCCATTCCATCGGGCTCTGCGCCATATGCCCTCGTAATAGGCACCCATCTTCCTGTGCTGCCCCTGCAGCAGCGAGGCGTCGGAAATTTGAATTCAATTTCGAACCCCGTTGTTGTTGACACACGGCCGCTATTTCTCTTGGAGCGCAGTGAAGGCCAACCGCCTGTCCTCTTTGTTTTCGCTCCCCGTCGCAAGGTGAGTGTCGTCCGCCCTGTTCGTTTTCGCTCGTCGCTGTTCCTCTGCTCTGTGTTCATGTCATTCTCTTCCCTGCGAGTTTGTGTGTGTGTGTGTGTGTGTGTGTGTGTGTGTGACACAGAGAGAGAGAGAGAGAGAGAGAGAGAGAGAGAGAGAGAGAGAGAGAGAGAGAGAGAGA